TGCTTTCAACTGTTGGTGCCAGTTCATTAATCCTTTTCACAATTCATACAAATGATTGATCAACTAACTACTGGTGATGGCCAGAGGGGCCGATGGCGCGATATGGCAGCCTCACTTCTGTCAGTCTGCCCCAGCTGTGGCTGTAGCTTGCCTCCACCAGTGTGTGAATGTGAGAGTGAATGAATAGTGGAATTGTAAAGCGCTTTGGGTGCCTTGAAAGCGCTATATAAATCCAATTATTACTTAATTTTATATGTAAAGAAAAAGACTATTTTCAGACTTAAGGTATGGAGAGGCCTAGTTCAGGAAGTTTTTTAACTTGACAGAGCTTCAGCAGCATCACAAGTGTGGCTGGGGTCATTAAGCCTGAATGGATTGTGTTTCTCACCTCTGTTGCTGAGGTAAGGAACATGTGCTGATCTGTGGCTGTGCAGTTGTAAGGGCCTGTTGTGGTGGCAACCCTGAACAGTGAACCCCAGGTGTGAAGTGAACCATCAAGCTCAAAAAGAGACTGTAAGAAAAAAACAACACTATTATTTTAGTAAATAAATTAGTGGCTGAGATTTTCAGTGATTACCCGACAATGCAATTCTGGACCAAAGGTAGGTATGTATAACTATAGGTGAAAGAAAACATCTCATTCAACCAGAAAAAGAAGCTGGACTTCAAAGTAAGATGTAACTAAATAAAAGTCATTATTTTATTAGAAAAGAAAAAAGTGTAAATAAATGAATGTACAGGAAATGTGTTTAGTTTATATGTTCAAACCCAAAGGGAGGTCTGATGCTTATATTTCAATTAATGAAGACAACCTAGAAATAATGTGTATATGTCACAGTGTCTATTAATTAACAATGTAGTTCACATTTCTCTTGAATTAAATATGTACAAATATAAACAGACACACTCATGAATTTAATATAAAAGCTGAACTTTCACCACATATAAAATTCAAAACTCTTTTTCTTATTTTTGTTAATTTAAATCCATACATGAGGGGATTAATAATTGGTGGAATGAAGAGAATCTCCATTGCCATGAAATTCTCAAAACTTTGTGGTATTTCCTTTGAGCCAAATCGCATGTATAACATATCAAAAAGAAAAGACACAACAACGACTGCTAAAGAGAATAAATGTGGTACACATGTCTGCATGAATTTGTTCCAGTTTTCTTTGGATGACTGACACGTTTTGATCAAATGTACATAAGACCAGAAAACAAAAACGGCATGACCAAAATAAAAGGTGTAATTAAAAGCAGGAATAATAATTGTAGCTACAGAGGCAGAGCAAGCTAGATTAGAAATTAACCAGTTTATACAGTAAATTCTTGGTATGTGTGAGCCACATAACCTCGATGTTGCTGTTGTTATTGTACTCATTAATATCAGGGAAAAGGGAGTAATCCAAGCAAAAAATACAAAGATACAAACTCTTTGTGTAGTCATCAGAGAGTGGTACACAAGAGGTCGACATATAGCCACGTATCTATCATATGCCATGAGAGCTAGAAGAGAGAAGTCCGTACAAATTGAAGAGTGCACCATTAAACCCTGTAAAAGGCATCCTGCATAAGAGATGACATGAGTGGTGGACAGAAGATCGTAGAGAAACTTGGGATAAAATGCAGCTGTCCCATAGAGTCCATTGAAGCACAGATTGCAGAGGAAGATGTACATGGGTTCATGAAGGCTTTTATCCACAATGACTGTCACAATTATCGTCAAATTTACCAGCCAAATCACACAGTAACACAGTAAAGTAAAAATAAAGATAGTGATCTTGTAGTTTGCTATACCACTTAAACCTGAGAGAGTAAAAACAGTAACCACTGACACATTATCCATAATAAAATAGTTTACCTTTTTAAGGTGTCATTTCACACTTGCAACAAGAGAACATTACATTTGTAGAAATTAGTGTCACAGTAAAAAGAAGACTGTCTGTCGACTGTCTCCCTCAAAGAGTATGTCACCAGAGGTTTATATACGCTTTGGGTTAATGGCATTATGCAGTTAGCTTGAAGTGGTGCATCAAGCTAGGGATGCTTTCATTTCTTTTCTTTTCTTTTTTTTTTTTAATTTACTTTTGAAAATACAATTTCTGCACTTTTTTCACACATACAACAGAAATCGTTTTGCCATATATGTTTCATTTTATAATATGAATGAATGGATGAGAATTTTTTTGAGGGGGCGTTTTTGCATCTTTTGCGGATTTGCACGTGCAACGACTAGCATTCAGCGTTGGGTTACGCCGCCAAACCCCGTTACTGTGGTTACATTTCTTTACAGAAAACAAATGTAGCCTAAACAGTAACAAGTTATCTTTAAGGTTCTTATGTTTGGCTCTCACAATTTCTAAAATGAAGTCAGCCGGTACATCAGCCCCCTCATCAGTAACATCAAGTCACTGTTGTCACGTCTGCTTTATTTATAGCTTAGAGCACATCTGAACAACAGAATTTGCCCCAAAGTGCTATCGAGACAGGCACATTTAGATGCCAGCTCTCCATAACATACAGTTTCAAAATACACGAAAAGCTGAAAGGTGTGTTTTGTGATTTAGTGATCACAGAGATTTAGTCATCATTGAAATTTGTTCAGAACTTGCATGTTGATGATAATTCTCATAAATCATGAAACACTCCTTTTCACTATATAAGCTGATTTATAGGTTAAAAGGATTGGTATCTCTATTGGTATTGCCAATGCCCTCCCTGTATTTACTTGATATTGGATCAATATCAAAATTTGCAGTATAGAACACCAC